AAGCATGCAAAACAATGGAGCTACTGGTTCCTTGGCTCCGTGTGTGTATGTGTGTGTGTGTGTGTGTGTGTGTGTGTGTGTGTGTGTTTCTGTTTGAAAAGAGGAAAACCTCTAAGATTCCCCCAGCATCAAATGTTACTATGTCCAGCAGTGCAGATGGCTCTAGGGACTGGCAATCTCCATTCCCACCTGCCCATGGTTTGCTCTTCCATTTTTTGAAGTAATCTCAGGATCCTAGGATTAGAGAGAAACCTTAGTGATCACTTAGTCCAGTGGTTTCTAGTAGCTGTGACCCCTGAAGGCTTTCTGAAATCTGTGGTGACACTGTTGATTATCAAAATGATAATCTACTGGCACTAGCAAGTGGAGGGCAGGCATGCCTGGCTGAGTGAATGCTTGCACAGACAGCCTGATAGGTTCCTTGTCTCCCACAGCCTCCACATGACTTCCTAACCAGTAAAACGCTATTCACAACGATCTGTGAACTGTGTTCACACATTAACACTGTTGAACCCTCTAGGACCATTGCTGTATATAAATTGAGGCAAGATTATACTCTCACATGTTGAAATGTATGCTCTTGTATTATATAATTTTTATTCTGTATATCAATTACGGAATCATACTAATTTTTTTCAAAATGCTATTTCTTCCTTTCTTCTTCTTCCTCCACAACACAGGAAACAGTTCACTGTATAAGCCTCCTCCTCCTCCTCCTCCTCCTCCTCCTCTTTCTTCTCCTCCTTTTCTTTTTGAGGAAGGGTCTCACTGTGAGGCTCTGGCTGGCCTGGAACTTACATAGGCCAGGCTGGCTTGAACTTATAGAGATCCACCTGCCTCTGCCTCCTGAGTGCTGGGACTAGAGACAAGTGCCACCACACCAGCCTTCAAAATGTTATTTCTTTTTTAAAAAATATTTTTTATTTTATGTGTATGAGCATTTTGCCTGTATGTATATAAGTGCACCACATTTATGCAATGCCTGTGGAGGTCAGGAGAGGGCATTGGAACCCCTGGAACTGGACTTACAGATGGTTGTTAACTGCCATGTGGGTACTGGGAATCAAATGTGGGTTCTTTGCAAGAGAGCCAGTGCTCTCTAGCCCCCAGAATGTTATTTCTCTGTGAGTTCAATTGAACTCACAGAGATCCCCCTGCCTCTGCCTCCAGAGTGCTGGGATTAAAGGTGTGCATGTAGGGGATAGAAGGAACCAAACACAAAGCAAGCAAAGCCTCTCATTCATGCCCACAGGGACAGCACTGAGAAGGAGCTCAGGACAAGAACATGCTGTTGGAAATGAAAACAATTTAAAATGGCTGCCAAAAGAAAATATTCAGTAGAAATGAAGATAAGGGTAAGAAACTCTCCCAGAAAGTAGAATTATCAAATTCAGTAGAATTGGAAGATTGAAGTTGAGAAAATCTTCCAGAAAGCAGGATAACAAGACAGATGGAAAAGATAATAGGAATAAAGAGAGAATCAATTTTGAAGGCTCACACTGGACCAATGGGCCCTCCAGAGAGAACAGAGAAAATTGAGAAGAAGAAATGATCAAATAAATAATACAGGAAAATTCTCAGCCCTGAAATTTAGAGTTCTTTAAAGAGCCTGCTGAGCTGAATCAATCCACAGCAAATTTCAGAGACCAAGAAAATAACCAAAAATTCCAGGGCGGTGGGAGTGGGGGGGATCCCAATGAACATTAAAGTGACATGGAAGTTTTTCATGGAAACCTCAGACTCTGGAATGCAAAGGAAATAGGCGTTTAACATCAGAGGGAAATTAATGTGAGTTCAATAGCCAGACAAATGGTCATTATGCATTAGGCTAGAACAAAGGCATTTTTCAGATGTGTAAGGACTCACCGCCTATTTAAGAAAGTTACTAACAATAAGCTTCAAGCCAGGACTGGCAGCACAGGTCTGTAGTCCCAGCGACTCTAAAGGTTTAGGCAGGTGGATTACAAGTTCAAGAGCTGCCAGGGAACAGAGTAGGTTCAAGGTCAGCCTAGGAAATTTAGTGAGACCCTATCTCAAAGACAAAATGTAAAAAGAGGGTTGGGGATGCAGCTCTGTGATAGAGTGGCCTGAAAAAAGGAGACTTCTATAAAGTCCAGGAGGGCCAGAGCCGCTGAAGAGAGGATGAGTGAGGGGTGCTTAAACGAGATCATGGCAGAATGGGATGATGCCAATGAGAAATTCCAAGATTCTGCACACACAAACAAAATTCAGTCCTTGTTAGAAGTGTGAGCCACTAGAGAGCTCTTTCTGGTCCTGGCTGAGGAAACTATGCAGCAGTAATGATTGTGGCTATAAGTGGAGAGATCGATCTCATTCCAAGTCTAAAATATGCCTGGATTTGTCTAGACAACCTGTGTAGTGGAGTCAGTCTTAAACCTATCACTGACCTGTGTGAAGATTTAAATGTAAATGAGTTAAATGTACATTTCATCAAAGGCTCCAGGTGACAGGCTGCGTGATATGGTGGGGCCTGGGCAGTGTGGTGACAGCGAGAGAGTGGGGCCATCTTCTTAAATGGAACTTTGTTTCTGAAGACTTTTAAAAATTATTTACTTTTGAGACAGGGTCTCACTATAGAACCCTGGCTGGCTTGGAATTCCCTATGTAGACCAGGCTGGCCTGGAACTCACACAGATCCACCTACCTACCTCTTCTCTGGGATTAACGGCATATGCCACCATGCCTGGTAAAAGATGTTCATTAATCTTAAATTATTTTAAAATTTTACTTATTTCTATGTGTATATGTGTGTGCATACATGTAGGCATGTGTGTACCACAGTACACATGCAGGGGTCAGAGAACAACTTAAGGGAGCTAGTTCTCTTCTACCATGTGGGACCCAGGAGTCAAACTCAAGTACTCAGGCTTGGTGACAACCACCTGTACCTGTTGAGTCACCTTTCTGGCCTTTAATTTTTTTTTTTTTTTGAGACAATGTCTGCCCTTAGCCACAGCTGGCCTGGAACTAGCTATGTAGACCAGGCTGTCCTTGCTTTCACGGAGATCACCCCTGGCCCTATTTTAACTTTTAAATTTCTGTTTCTGAAGATTTTTTTTCATGATTTGTACATATGTTTATATGAAAGATCTCAAAATAAACTTTAGTTACAAAAAAAATTTAGTCCTTGTTCTCTAATTGATTCTGCAGGGGCACTGTTTATATAGTCTCAACAATGAAATATTGTTTAACCAAAGATAGTAAATATAATGGCAAAGTCAAGCTGTGGGCAGTGAAACAGAACTGGATCCTCATTTGTGTGTAAGGAGAAAAAATAATGTTTACATCTGATAAATCAAGAAATAGCATTATAAATATATTACTTACAGTTATGGAAGTAAATACTAGAAGAAATAGCTCTTGGATAGAGGCAGGGAAAGGTGGGCCTGGGTTAGTTTTTATTCATTTTCAGTCTTTTGAAAAATTTGACATTCTCAACCATGTGTACATATTGATTTGATAAACATGTAAAACCCTCAAATCCAAAGAGGGTAAGTGGAGGCTGGAGAGATGGTTCAGCGATTAAGAACACTGATTGCTCTCGCAGAAGACCTAGTTTAGGTTCCAAGCACCCACATGACAGGTAACAAGCATCCATATCTCCAGTTCCAGGTGATCCAATGCTGTCTTCTGGCTTCCACAGGCATTGCATGAACATGATGCACTTACATACATGCAGACAAAACACTTATAAGACAAAAGAGGCAAGGGCCTAGAGAGCTCCAGTGGGCAAAGAAAGCTAGACCAGGGACAAAAATATCTAGATTTTAGCATTTAAAGGGCAGGTTAAGCCAGGAATGGTGGTGCACATCTATAATCCCAACGTGGAGATGGCAGGAGCCTGAGTTGCATTGGGAGACCTTGTCTCAAATAAAATGAAAAACAGGGCAGACCAATAATGCTGTGCCTGAGTATCTTTTCACACATTGATTCATATTTTTATTTCCTCTACTGTGAACTACCTATTATTGTTTTGATTATTTTTCTGTTTGCATTATTTATTGCAAACCAAACTCATCAGCTAGCTTAAGGATAAAACTACAGAAGGAGTCCCACTAGAGTAAAGAGCAGTTAGATGAAGTAGCAATTAAAGCAGTTAAATAAGAAAACGAAATGAAGCACCAAACTGGAGAACAAGAAGCAAAATTGTATCTTTAATGTAAAATGATCCGATTGCATAACTTGAAAATCCAGGAGAAACAACAGGAAAAATTGCAGCTAGTAAGAGTTCTATAAGATCGGTGATATGAAATTGATACAACAGACTAATAGCATTCTCCAAAGAACAAGCTAAAAAAATACAATGAAAGGGGACAACCAATCGCAATAACAAGAAAGATGCAAGAATCACATGAAAAATTTAAAACATTACCAAGGAAGAAGCAGAAGGTAAAAAATAGATGAAAAATCTTGTTCTTCCCTCTGGAAATCACAGATCTTAAGTGTTACAAAAATGTTCATTCACCTTAAATTATGCTTGATATTTAATTACCTGGCTATCTTTTATCCTTGGAATTAGACAAATTTATTCTTAGATTTGGGTAGAAAAATAAACACAGATAGCCAGGAAATTCTTTTAGGTTACCTAAGAAGAGATCAGCTCTGTACTTTGTGAAAATATAATTAAAATACAGAAGTATTGGAAACGGTTCAGTCAGAGAAACAGAACAGAATGAAGACCTCAGAAATAGAGCTGAATTAACATAGGATTAGCATTTCCTAAAATGGCATCACATATCAGAGGGGTGAGACAGATTGTTCAATACTTAAGGCTGTAACAGCTGGGGACATACTTAGGAGAAAAAAGAGATTCCTACTTCAATCTTTATAACAAAACAAAGTAGAAAATATTTAGAAGTTAATAGTTAAGTCACAAAAGTGCTAGAAGAAAACAGTGTTTGATACATAAATCTGTGCGTGTTGTGCATATATATGGATATATATAATCTTTTGGAGTTGTTTTTTATTTTTATTTTTTTCACTCAGTCTGTGATCCCTCTCTCTAACTCTCTCAAAGGAAGAGAAGAATGATCATCAATGACAAGTGGCAGTTACAGAAAATAGCAACACCAAAAGCCAGCTTCACGCTCAGGAGAGAACGGCATGTCTCATCCTCGTGGTTTCTGGTACTCTACACAGTTCATAGAAGCTTCTCTAGTTACAAACTATAGAAACAATCCCTGAAAGTATAGTCTTTGGGGTTATTTTTTAAACAAACAAGGTCTCACTCTGTAGCTCAGGCTGGCCTAGAACACGTGTTAAACCTGCCCTTAGTATCCCAAGTGCTGAGATTACACATGTGCCACCACACCCAATTCTTTCTCTCTCTCTCTCTCTCTCTCTCTCTCTCTCTCTCTCTCTCTCACACACACACACACACACACACACACATATACATATATACACAGATACATATATACATATATGTATATACACAATATATAATATAAACACAATCTTGGAATAGGGGAGAGTCTTGTGCCATAAATAAAAGAGTGAATAAACTCACAGTATAAAGAAACACACACACTTATGCCAGGTGTGGTGGCGCACACCTTTAATCCTAGCACTCTGGAGGCAAAGGCAGGTGGATCACCATGGGATCAAGACCAGCCTAGTCTACATAGTGAGTTCCAGGCTAGCAGGGGCTATGGGGAGACCCTCTCTTTCAAAAAAAGAAAACCATAAAAAATGAAAAACAAACAACAAAATCCACACTGACAGGTCAGTGAGGTGACTCAGCGTGTGAAGGCACTTCTTACCAAGTTTGACAACCTGAGTTCAATTCCAGGAACCCATATGGCAGAAGGAAAGAACCAACCCCTGTGGGTTGTTCTCTGACCACAAGAGCAGTGGCACATGCACCTGCCACCCCCTACTCTGCATACAAAATTTTTTAATTTATAGAACACATCTATGCATGGGAAAATGGAACATATAATAAAATAAAACAATAAGTGATAAATTGCATGAGATAGTTACAAACATGAATAGCAGATAAAGGCTTGCTTATTTCCACTGTACAAATCAATATGAAAAGTGGACAAAAGATGTGAATAAAGTGCACAGACATAAAGAAATGTATTGTTTTCACACATGTAAAAAGATGTTCAACCTCCTTCAAAGTGAGAGAAATACAAAATGGCAATACAGTGCCATTTCTCATCCATTAAACAAGCAGCAAAAGGGATGGGCGCTATAGTTCAGGTGTACAGTGCTTGGCTAGAATGCATGAGACTGTGTTCTGTCTCTAGCTCCACACACACAAAATCAACACATCAGCTAAGATAAAGATATTTAGGGTCATTCATGTATTATTGGTGGGAAACTAAACTGGCTTGATCAAGATCTGCCTTCAAGTGGAAAAGATGAGAACAGAACATTAAGAACATTAAATAGCACATGAGAACAGAACATTAAGTAGCACATGCAAGCTGCTATTTGAGTTAAAAAAGAAAAAAAAAAGACAGAAGCTGGGAGTGGTGGTGTACACCTAAAATCCCTACACTCAGGTGGCTGAGGCAGGAGGATTGTGAGTTCAAGGTCAACGTGAACTGCATAGCAAAACCAAGTATAAGAGACCCTTTTTTTCTGTCTTTTTGAAGCAGGGTCTCCCTGTAGCCCCAGCTGTCCTGGAACTCATTATGTAGACCAGGCTGGCCTTGAGCTCACAGAGATCCACCTGCCTCTGCCTCCCAAGTGCTGGGACGACAGGCGTGTGCCACCATGCCCAGCTGAGACACATTTTTAATAGCTATAGAGTGCTTTTGGCAGAGTATACAAGGTACAGGCCTTTCTTCTTTCCTTCCCTCTTCTTCCTTTCATTTCCTTCTTTCCTTTAAAAATGTAATTTTTATAATTATAAAAGTAATATTGCATTAATTTCTCATTAAAAAATCTGAAGCCAGGCACTGTGGAACACACCTAGAGTACTAGCATACAGGAGGCTGAAATAAGATCATGAGTTTGGGGCCGGCTTGAGCTATATAGCAAGACACTGTCTTAAAAAATTATAAATACACAGATTAAAAATAATTCTGGAGGCTGGAGAGATGGCTCAGTGGTTAAGAGCACTGGCTGCTCTTCCAGAGGATCCAGGTTCAATTCCCAGGACTTACATGTTGGCTAATAACCATCTGTAACTCCAGTTCCAGAGACTCTAATGCAGTCTTCTGGCCTCCATGGGTTTTGTATGACATGGATACACTTACATGCATTCACACAAAACACTCATACTTTAGATAAATAAATAAATAAATAAATAAATAAATAAATCTGAAAGTACAGAAAGATTTAAAAGAAAGCAAAGCCTACCATCATCAGTCTTATCCATAGAAAAGCCACATTAATATTTTGATGTACATTCTTCCAGATATTTCTTTTTTAAAATATTTTTATTATTTTATGTGTATGAGTGTATTGCCTGCATGCATGTAAGTACGTCCATGTCATGTAGTGCCTGAGGAGGTCAGAAGTAAGCATTGGATCCCCTGGAACTGAAGTTATGGATGGTTGTTAGCGACCATGTGGGTGCTGGGAACCGAACCTGTGTTCTCTGCAAGAGCAGCCAGTGTTCTTAACTGCTGAACCATCTCTCCAGCCCCTCCAGATATTTCTTGATATGTTATTTTGGAGTGGCATCTTACCTACTTTGCACATGACTTTTACTCTGACTTTTTTTGGTGGGGGGGCTCAACATCTCTTTCTATATTAATACATTTAAATCTACATCATTCTTTTTATTTATTATTTTTTAACATTTTCATACAAATTTCATTGTATGCTGAGAATATTTTCCCTCCTCTCCCCACCTCCCCTTTCTCGCTCCTCCCTCTCCCATTTGTCCCCTGTCTCCCTAGACAGTTTGACTTCTACTTTCATGTGTCTTAGTTTTCTGTTGCTGTGATAAAATACCTGGACAAAAGCAACTTCAGGGAATAAGGAGTTTATTTGGCTCACAGTTCCAGGTCACAGTCCATCACCACTGGGAAGTCAGGCAGTGGGAACTTGAAGCAGCTGGTCACATTGAATCAGTAGCCAAGAGCAGATGGCAGTGACTTCACGAATGCTTAGCAAACTTTCTCTTTTTTTATTTAGTACAGGACCTGAAGCCCAGGGAATGGTGTCACCCACATCGGGCTGGTCTTCCTGTATCAATTGATGTATCAAAGTAATCCCTCAGAGATATTCTCAGAGGTCCTTCTCCCAAGTGACTCTAGCTTGTGTCAAGTAGACAATTAAAACTAACCATTGCATATCATGTATGCAATTTTATGTAAAATCTAGGCTCCACAAATGAGAGGAAACATGATGCTTGTCTTTCTGAGATTGTCTTAATTCGCAATATGATTATTTCCAATTGTACCCATTTTTTTTTCTTTCTTTGATTTTGTGTGTGTGTGTGTCTGTGTGTCTGTGTGTCTCTGTGTCTGTGTGTGTGTGTTGTTTGAAACAGGGTCTCCCTGTAGCCCCAGCTGACCTGGAACTTGCTATGTAGACCAGGTTGGCCTCACTCAGATATCTGCCTGTCTCTGCCTCCTGAGTTCTGGGAATAAAGGTGTGAGTCACCACGTCTAGCTCAATGTAGTTTTGATTTACTTTTTTTTCTAATGGCTAATGAGGTTGAACATTTTCTCATGTCTCTATTGGCCATTTGTATTTTTCTCTTTTGTGAACTGCCTTTTCATTTCACTAGTCCCTTTGTTTGGGTTGTTTGAGTTCCTTTTAAAGAATATGTTAAATATACAGTTCAGTGTCAATAAGTGCATAATGTATAATCATCACCAGAGAACTATTTATCTTAAATAAAGGCCAGGCTGGCCTTAAGTATACTCTGCTGCTGAGGTTGGCCTTGAACTGCTGATCCTCCTATTGCCACATCCCAAGTGCTGGGATTATAAGTATACACCATTACTCTGGCTTGTTTGACTTCTTGTTGTTTAGTTTCTTTTTAGTTCTTCATATATTCTACATATTGAATAGAAAAGAAAACCAATCTTCCAATCCATGAGCATGGGAGGTCCTTCCATCTTCTGATGTCTTCCTCAGTCTCTTTCTTTAAGGATTTAAAATTTTCATTGTAGAGGTCTTTAATGTCTTTGGTCAGGTTTATTCTGAGATATATATATATTTTTTTTTTTTGCAGCTATTGTGAATGGGAGTGTTTCCATGTGCTCTTTCTCTGATTGCTAGTTATTGGTATATAGAAAGACTACAGACTTTTTTTAAAGCTTTGTTGTCTTTTTTAGAATTCACATATTTTCAAAATTAATTCTTCTAACAATATGTCTATGAAATGTTTTCCTTCATTCAACAGCATTGCATAAGTTTCGGCATAAAGGATTGGCTTATACTTTGGTACTACTTTTTTTTCTTAATTTTAAAACAAGTTTGTTTATTCAGCAACAGTGGCACATTTAGAATTATAGCAAAAAAAAGAATTATAGCAAACAGTGGAAAGAAGCAAGTTTCTTAGTATTTTCAAATTTCTGGCCTGTTGCTCCTTGCAATTCAGGGACAATAAATCAGTATTCTCAGGAAGTCGCAGAAATTTCGTGTCTGTGGTTATTTAAAGCATACTTGTAACAATCTTTACACTATTATTTAAATAGCTGAAATTTTTGTTTAAAGAATAAAACACTAAATTTATTAGTACTTACAAAGAACTACAGCCCATAGGAATGTTCAAACAATGAAAAACATAATTTAAAATTTAGATTTCCTTGTCAGTTAATAGCCCATAAGATATGAAATCATATGTGGACACTACTCATTTAATTTGAAAATAATTTTTTTGAAAAGAACATTCAAGTTCTTATCCTTATAGACATGGCTTCTGAAACTATTCAAAATCTTCCCTTTTAACACAGACACCACTGTTCCAGTTAGAAAGCAGCACACACCTGCACAAAGATGAATTGCTTAGTAAATGCCATTATTGAAATTTTTCTGTGTAATTATTCATGAGAAATAATTTACTTTGCTTCTTACCACCAACTTTATCCTAATTTAGAATTTTTTCTGTTTCTTAGTACTGTATTTATTTGTAGCATTCCACTATTTTTGAAAATTAATTTTTTTAATTTATTTTTTTACACCCACTTCCCACATAGCACCCTCCCATAGCCTCCCTCCTCCTACTAGAGCCCTTATACTCTGATATCCCTGCTATTCTCTGCTGTGTTGTCAGCAGCCCC